GTGCTCGGTGCGTGTCTTCGCGAGGACACGACGTGTTCGTTAAATCGTACACGCGCGGACACGACACGCAGAAGCGCGCGTCTTCGCGGCCTAAGATCGTGGCTTCCAGCCTCCCTCATGGTGTGTGACCCTGCCCTCTTTATCGATAGAGCGGAGTAATTATCGGGGTTGACGAGCGGAGACGAGAACTTGATACGTCCGATAAATAAAGGGAACGGAGGGGATGCATTGCGATACCGTGTAGTAGTCGGCTTTCCATAAGAGAGTCCGTAAAAGCAGTTTCGAGTCGAGGAGAGAGTTACCGGCGTGTCTTCGATTTGCTGAAAAGGCAAATTGCACGGCTCCTGCGGACTCAAGATAGCGATTTGAATCCCAAGAGACATCGTTGCCCACTTACGGCAATGATTTTAAAGATTATCTATCGTAGAAGTGCACGGTTGAAAAAAGCCTCTTTGAGGATATCCTCAAAGGAAACTCATTACGTTCACGTCGCTGATAAGCTCGAAACGTAGATAAATACGATAAAGATGTAAAGGAAACTACAAGAAAAGATTACTCCGTTTCCTCGTAGGTCTGGCGATCGAGAGACCCAAAAATTTTATTTAATATTTTTAAGAATGGATTTAACAAAACTTGTTGTCGTTGTTTTAATTTGATTACCAACTTAGTATTGCGCGACTTAATTGCATCTTCCGATGAGAAAGTCTCTCACGTCCGTTATAGGATAATTACATAATGATTACAATTATGCGGCGTTTCTTCTCTGTGATAGTTGAAAATAAACAATAATGAGAACGAGAATAGCCACGGGAAGTCGTCGAGGAAATGTAGTTTCATACCAGAGATTACTAATTAATTAGGAGGCGGTGAGTTCAAAGAGCGTATGAATATTTGCGAAGCTAAACGCGCAATAAGAATGCACATTGTGAAATTAATGACATAATATGCTATTATTGTTCTACATGACTACAAACAGAAATAATCTGTTTATTATTCCGGAAAGAAAAGTATGTGACTCTACGATCGTCAGAAATGAAGTTTAGATCGCAGCATTTTTCTGAATGCTTACGCCACTGGCCAAGCAGGGGGGATATCGTCATATCCCGGACGAAGACAGGAAACCTCCAAGTAAAATCCCCCTCCGGTCGTACGCACGTATGCGTCAACGAGCATCGGCGTACGTTTGATTGTAAATGAAAGCAGGAAAGAGAAGCGAAAGCGGAGCGATGAATAGTGAAAAAAATGCGATTAGCGCGAATATTTCTCATTGATAACGGGGAAAGCGATTGTTCGATTCAGAATGAAAGCCTGAAACGTTTTATTTGAATGTTTAATTCCGATTGAAATGTTGATTTAATTATATTCATTAAAAAAAAAAACGATCTCTCTTTAATTTAGGACGCTGGATATCAAAGCGTGCGTCTTTGTTCGGTAGGAGTGTTGTTAAAGTCGAAAAATTATAGATGTATATCACGACGAACGTTAACTGTCATTTCGGTATTATCTGAAATCACATAAACGTCTTCAGCATGAAAGCAATAAATTACAGACGTGCTGGGATTGACCCAGAAAATCGAAAATTGCGGCACAAAGTGGATTCGTAATTGGAGCGAACGGCCCGCGTGGCATTATAAAATGTTAAAGCTCTGACTGCACGCACGGTTGCTGCGGTCTAATTTCACATATATATATGTACACCAAGTTGCATTTGAGATTCCAGGGACACGGTATCCGTTTCAGTACCCTTAACATTTAGCGCATGACGTAACGCTGATAGTTACCTTATCTTACAGCTGTCGAGCAGATAAAATATCTTCCATTCTACATTTTACGTGTAGCGCATCAATGAAAGATATTCTTTATTATGTCTAGGAATGAAAGATAATTCAGACCAGTGTTGTCCAAGCTGAGTATCTTCGGTTCTCAATCCAAATATTAGAATACCGATTATTCTGGCTATTATTAGAATAAAATTCGCTAAGAATGATAGCTTCTCAAAACGCTCTGCAATTTTGCAGGTGTTATTTTATTTTATGCAATTAATTACAAGTAATGTCTCGTTTAGTTATCTCACGCTTAAATAAAACGGTCAGTTCGTGTACAGTTCGGATGTTGAAGTTTACTTGCGTTACAAGTGCTCCGGTTTTCGTCTCGCGTCTGGCAAATATAGATCATACAAATGTTTAAAAGCGTTTTCCGATATCCGTGGCGTTCTTCGGAATCAACAAGTACGTCGATCACTGTATATTCGGCGTATTAATCTCGCGATATTTGATTTTTCGAGAGTTTTCAAAATTGCTAAGCTTTCTGTTTTTTCCGCTCGCTCGCCAATTGTTGCGTAATATCGTGATACATATAATCTCCGCGCATACTGCATGTTCCGCACCGTTGGAATTAAAATAATGTCTCAAATATTTGTTAACTTCCTGTTTGCAACTAAAATACGTTTTTTTTTTAACTTTTAATTCTTCTAGTTTATTATAAATAGATATATCTTGTTTCACTACAAGAAAAATGATCTCAACTAGCAAACTTAATTCCTAGTGGAAAATTAATAAACTGAATAGCACGTTTAGAGAATCAATTTTCGTCTGGCTTTTTCGAATGGCCCTATTATACGGAATTTTCGATGATACCATCCGATCGATGAAACATGCCGGCAGCAGTTGATGAATCTGCGCTTATGCTTTCCCCTTTCCTAGCGAACGATCGAATGACCTACTTGTTAATTGTCGGTAGGTGCGCCCACGCTCTAATTAACGGCAAAGACTGATGTGGCAATAAATAATTCAATTAAATAATTCACGATTGACCTGCGGTCAATAACAAATGTGTAAAGTTAAAGTATCAGCTTGCAATTAATAAGGCGTTCCGAGATTTAATCGATGCGTTTCGCGGAAGAAAATCTTAATTGAGAAGTTAAGTCTCAACCGTTAGACGCAGGTTTTTTGCGCGTTGACGTTTTAATTCAAGCGAAATGGAGCGGAATCGAGAAGACGAGCAAGGCGCTCGCAGAAAACAAACGTTGTCACGTCTGAGTTAGTGATGAGTATAACATCCGCTGTCGTTGTGTCATGATTACATTTACGACTGACGGCCTTATGGATGATTATGCATCAAATGCGGTTTCCAAGTTCAACCCCCCCGGTGCAGAAAAGCGACCTAACAGGAAAATCATCCGGCTATTCCACGTTGCCGGTGATATTAATCGCTTTAGCAGATGGAGTCGTTGCGAACGATGTATGACCTCGCTCGAATCAATCCGCTCGTTTCGAGTTTCGCGGTTTCCTTCGCGATACAATAAAAAGTCCTTCCTTCACAAAAGCGACAATCGCTCGGTGTAAAGCTTGTGCTTGTTTGTAAATAACATAAATATCTAATTTTTTACACTAGCAATAAATTATAAAATATCAACAAAAATTAGAACTTGAAAGAAATTATGCTGGAGAGAAAAAGGTAATAAACATGTCCTGAAAATCTTTACATTAATATTTTTGAAGTTACTGATTTCAAATCTGCACTCAAAATTTGAAAATTTTAAATAACAGGTCTAATATAGCGGCCTAAAAAGCATTATTAATACTTTTAAAGAATAGAACTGCTGATATGTGACAACGTCTGCGTTGAATATTGATTACGTGAGAGCCGTACAATGAGATCGAATGCATTCCACACATTGCGTTCGTGCGAACATTAATTCGTCGAGATGTTCCGGTAGAGCTGAATTAACCAGGAATTAACTCAATGTAGACAAATTTTGATTTACTTGTCTTACATCGTATTAATTAAATGTTTCCCGTAATGCATCGTCCTTTCTCTTGTTCTAAAGCAGTTAGATTCTAGATTACTAGTTTTTTTATCGGAACAAATATGCTTCTCATTACTGTGCAAAATCAGTGCATCAAGTTCTAATAAGTTTTCTGCTTTCGTAATTATATTAACTTTCTAATATCTTTCTACTTGAAAAACAGCGAATGAAGGAAGTTTTTTATAAAATGGCAATGAGAAGTTTCTCTCTTTAAATTTGAAATTTCCCCAAAGCGTAGGAGAAACTTGAAGAAGCCGGATCTCTATCGCTTATCGGTATGTTTTAAAGCTGAAATTTACAATTCCACGTGTATTAAGCACATCGTCTTCTTTTGCTTTCGTGTCTTATCCTTCGCGTGTTCGAAGCGAACGTATATGTATTAGGATTTACCTCTATGTGAAAATTAATTCCACGAAAGTCTGCTATACATATAAATCCTACAAATCATTGAATATGCAGAGATTGCGGAACTGAAGAATACGTCATCAAGTAAATCGTGTGTAAATCATTCAAGCGAAAATATATGATCGAGCAGCGTGTCGATTGCTATTCAACAGTACAATTTCAAGTTCGTGAATCATCTCGTGCGTGTATTATGTATTTTGTGACATTGAAAGATTTTTATCGTGACACACATCGGATGTGGTACTTTTTATATTATATAAAAATAATAATAACGACAGTCGTTGATACAACGTTATCTTTTAACCGCATATTACGTGCATTATTTTTCTGGAGATATTTATCACGGAATAAGTAAGACGCATTATTTTGTGAGGCTAAGAGCTGGCTTAGGGGTTACCGCGATAAAAACGAAGCGATAAAAGTGTAATCCGTATTTTTAATCGGACGTACGGACAGCACGGTAAAATTCAGGAACAAAAGAAATTTTTCAAAGAAATTATTAAATTGCATTTCGCGATTTAGATTAGTCAATCAAACGTACGTGTTTCTTGATATTTTTAAGATTAAGAAAACATAAAGACGTAGATGAAATAATTAAAGCTTAATGAAGTAATTCATATCGTTATATATTATCTTTACATGTAATTATGTTATACTTCCTTTCAAATCATATAAATCTCGCACGTTCCAACCGTGACATTTACAATTCAAACATTCGTCCCAAATGACAAACTTATGGTATTCGCACAGGATGTACACACGAAGTACGAAGAAAAAAATTATTTACCTTCAAACGAAGCAAGACGAGCCGTGACATTGTTATAATTGAGTCATTAAATGAGACACAGTTAGACTCTTTCACGAGGAGCCACCAAATGCATCGCTCTTCTTTGTTAAAATGTACTCTTGGTTAATGTACTCTTCCGGTATCCTGGGCCAGACAGGAAACCGCACCGAGAATTCCCAAAAATGACTAATCTCGTCTCGCAGCCGCGAAAAAATTTCGTGTCGCAAGAGATAACGTTTTATCACGTGCACAGACCACACACAACGTGCCCGTGGGCTATCGCAATAATGGTTCCCTTGTGTCTGCCGTTCAAGTCTATCTCGTCTCTAATGTTTACTCAAACGTCCGCGTGTTTAAAATCATCGGTCCCACTTGGCCGCAGCGGAGCATCGATCGAACCGATCCACCGCTCGGCTGCGCGCTTCTGTCTCGTGAAAAAGTTTTAAAATACGCCCGCGATGACTTGTCGCGCTTTCGCGATGAATTTCTCGTCAGAGGGGGAAGGGGGGACTTCGAACGGTGTCTCCTCGATCTCACCAGCGAGTCTATAATTTAACTGACGTTTGATAAGGAGGGAGCAAGGTTCGGGAAAGCACCAAGTTCTGAACGCTGAACTTCCGTACGAACGGTAGGACCGTAAATTCGACCTCCGCACTCGACGGAGTGCGACGATCGATTTTTCGAAAATACCGCGGCAGCCGACTGTATACTTTTTTTCTCGATCAACTCGCAGCACGACGCGGGGCACGGCACAGCACGGCACGGCACGGCTCTCACGAAGGTTGTTACACCACTGTCAAAGCGACGGCGTGCAAGCAAACGCCGAGACAGTTTCGCTCCGCGCGGCCAGTCAGCTAGACGCCCCCACTCTCGACACGTCACTGCCTCCTGCAGCGTGGATCCACGCAGCAGCATCGCCGGTGTAATACATTCTGCCGTGTCAGAAAATTCGCGATTGTACATAAGAATTGCGCGAAACTTAACACTCACTCAGCACGAGAGGCTGCGGCCATGTATATGACTTTAATTCCATTTAGCAAATCAGCAGCTTTAAGTCCCAAAAATTACGTCGATTATCTGAATAACAACGCTCCTGAAACGCTTCATGATTCATCAAAAATTTCATCCCCGCGTATCAAAGATAAACGAAAGATATCGTTGTATTGTTCCAATTTTATTTTTTTATTTACAAGAATTTTTATAGAAATCACAGCAAATGCTTTATTTTAGGTTTATTATAAATTTGATTATTGCCAATATGTCATGTACGAATGCTGTAAAATTCGCTGGAAAACTTTCTCTCTAAAAATACAATTATCTACAGTAGGGGAAGATTCAACCGCTTCGTCCGCTTCTATCTAATGGCTTATCTACTTCGATCGACTTATCGGAGCATATCGCATAACTATCGCATATTAGCAAATCAACGCCGCAGAAAAGTACGATAAGAATCGCACGTCAGAAGGGCAATGACTCATGAAGCGACGGGCAAATGTGAAGCTGGTTGTCCAGCTGGCACGTAAGTACCCGCACATGTTCCCGTCAGGTGCACATGACAACGCGGGAATTCGTTCGTCGAAAGAAAAATTTAAACGGATAAAAATTTACAAAAGATTTTTCAAAATAAATATTTTAGATAGTAATCATGCGATATAAATTCATTGACGTATGCAAAAGATCGATTATTGTCATTAGAGCAATTTAAGGATCGTAAATTATTATAATTCATCGTAACAGCGAGCGCGAGCGGCATGTCGTTCATTATTAGTATGATTTATGATGTGATTAGCAAAAGGAGGAACAGGATGATTAACTTAACGATCCATTTCAGAACGGCGCGATTCCTTTTGTGCCGTAACTTTGTGACTCACGCATCGTGTGAGACTACAGTCGAGTCATTATTCTCTAATAGTAACAGTGATCTTAGTGCGCACCTTTGTGCAAAATCGAATCTGTTATAGCACTTCGACGCCTGCCACGCCAGCTTTTTGTTCCAATTTGTGCAACTATGGAATTTCTCTCTCAGCGTCGAGAAATATCGAAGAGAAATATCCAAATGAAATGCCGACGATCTCTGTTCACGTTAACGTAACTGTTGATAGCTTCGCGAAAACAATTTCACCGCGCGATTATTTTATTCCTCGCGTACGTGACGAAGACGCATTCCGGAATGTTTAGTTTTTCGTTCCACTCGTTGTTGGGAAAATATTTAGTCCGGACGGAAATCTTCGGCGGAAATCTGCGATCGCTAGACTTTCGCTGAGCTGCGAAAGATTCGCTTTCAAAGATCCGCGTACTGTTTGCGAGCCGAGGAAGATGAAGAAAGAACCAGTCGCTTCCTACTCGAAAGTGCTTCGCCGACGTGCATAAGCGACCTGCCTTAATGCAACGTGCATATGTAATAGCGATTAGTGCGTGCCGGGGTACAATGACTCGGTAAACGGCGAACTGCACGCAACCGATGCATGCGTCTTCTCGAACGTACGTCGCGTGACAGCATATATTAAAATAAAAACATTATACTGGTGTGTATGTTCTCGTATTTACGACATGGCACCAGTAAACCCGACAGCAATAAAAAACGTAGATATATCGCGTTTTAAGGTAAAGATCTATACGAGTTGAGAATCCTTGAAATCATGAAAATCTTATTTATTAAAAAAAAATTTCCAAGTTTAATTTTGATATCTAGTAATTTTATTTTATTTTATCTCGTCTTATCACAAGTAGCGCCGATAACATACGATCGTTATGAAACACTACCTTCAGCTGTATACGAAATCTAATTTATACATATCAAGATTCCGCAGTGCTTTAATCATGACATTTGTGAACGATTGTTATTGTAACGGTTCTACGCTTTTCGCGGTTATTATTATTAGAAAAGCGGAAGAAACTCATCCGCGTGAATTAATTTTACTCTAACGGTTGAAAGAGCATCCTTTCGCATTTCAACGTAGTACAATCGAAGCAGCGTGCATGTGGACTGTATTGTACACCTGGTTGTATTGTTCGTCTGATGCACGGATAACTAAACACAACTGACTATTCAATTACATTATGCATTTCTAATATCATTCTCTGCACACATTCGAACCAACGCAATGTAAGGGATAATAATTTTGAAAGGTATTTGTCTTACATTGTTAAATTCTTATTTATTCTACTTTATTAATCATAAAACAGAGCTATCGATTTTACGATTTACAATTATTCCGATATTTCGCAGACAGATATTTATACTCGTCTTGACCGACTTTTTACTCTTCAGCAGTCTTCGATCAGCTTTTATTTGATAATGATCCAATACGAATGGTCTTTAATAATATCTTGGTGACTTACTTTATTATTGACTCTCGCTCGGTGACTTATCTTATGTTGGTTAGTATCTCGTCGACTCTTAGAAATCCAGAGAATATTAAATTGTGATGTTTTGAAGGAGTCGTCTAACAAGGAGAACCTAGATCAGAAATCTTATTTGAAATTTTACATATACACATATAAGTGTAGCAAATAACAAATTTATAAATTTTTAGTCGATAGCCAAAAATTAAACTTTCGGCTTTCGTCGATATATCTTCAAGTATTCATTCGAATATAAAGAGATGCTTCATATTAAAGTTTTTATGATAAAAAAACATGTTTATTTAATAAAACTAGTAATATTTTTAAAACCCTATCTTATGATCCCTTATATCAGACTCTGTATAATGTAATTTTTATAATTTTAAACAAAAAATGTTTTATAAAAGATAATTTTCAGATGTTTTAAAAACGTTTTTTAAAACGTAGAAAAATATCAAAGATGTCTGATTTGAAACATTTCTTAGATACATCGTACGAAATAATTTCTTACAGTCAGTCGGTTTGCAAATACCACCAAGAAGTAAGTTACTGACTAGAGACATGGCAGAAATCTGTTGTATCAGTAACTAATAAGCAAATGAGCAACTGCTAACAATGTTAATTCTTATTTGCCTATAGAGGGTAATGAAGGTTCGTTAGATTAGAAAAAACAACTTTATTTGTTAAAAATTATTTACATGATAATTATTAGTAAAATACAATGTAGATAATCACAGTTTCAATGGCTTAATATAAACGCAAGAACGAATGTTCGTGCAATGTCACAACGAATACTGATGAAACTGATATTTGTCACGAGCTAATCAGTTGACTTTCTTGGGATTGCGCATCTTCGGTTATTTTTTTCTTCTTTTTCAAGACTTTCATGTGTTTTGCGCCTTTCAAGTGAGCCTGCCATTGATGCTCTTCGATAAATACTCTCTCACATACCTAATTAACAAAAGAGATCTTTTATTTTGGGATATAGAAGCATTTGACACAATTTTATTGAAAAGATATTGACAAAGCTTGAATCGCATAAGTCAATTTTCGATTATCCACAACTAAACATAAATTTAAATAATTAAATCTTTATACTATTCACGAGTGTAAAATAAAGCAAAACAGTTTCATGAAGCTAATATTATAAAAGTATTACGTTTAAACAATTACATATAATGTATATAAAATTTTATTTCGATCGCATCAGACTAATCGATTAGGGTCACTTCTTTATTAATTACCTTGCAATAGTTACATATATTTGTACTACTATCGGTGGTCTTTTGGTTCTCGAAATTCTCGTTTAGTGGTCGCTGTTCGGGTTTTGCGCCGTGTAATATTGCGGAAATGATTGCTGCCGCAGGTTCTAAGACGCGACTGTCCCAATTTGTCACGTCGGAGCAATCTAAAGAATAAACAGGGGGAACCTCGAAAAAAGCAAAGCGGTCGTATGATTTATACTTTACTCAATTTAGTTACTTATGTATTCCGCGCGTGGGGAAAAAATAATTTACGCGGCGAAGATTGATTTATTTCAATCAAATTGCTAATTGCAATATAAACAAGTATATCGTTAATGATGAGGCGAGGTAAATGAATTACCTGTCGATCACCACGCCGAATCAGTCTGTTCATCACCCATTTATCTTGCCTCTTTGCGTATCTCCTAGTGACGAGTTTTAAATCATCGATTCCTTGTTGCAGTAATTTTTTCCCCTGTATAAATTTAGTCAGATATCGATTTCTCACTTAACAATTGATAGTTACATGTCTCAAACGTAAAACAGAGATTTTTGCACAATAATACAATTCTTTTCTGTTCTTCGCGCGCAACTTTACTTGTATTAATAATTTTACCATGTGAAGTCGAGTAATAAAAAAAATTGTGCGTGAAAATTTTACATAAAAAATATCATTAAATAAAATATCATTCGCGTCACACACGTTCAAGATGTAAAATAGTATTTTGTCTCCTGTTCTTATTCAACTTTCGCTGAAATGCGATATATCTCTCTTCTTCTCCCGTTCGTCCCTTTTTCATCTCTTTTCTTATAATTGCACCGGAGGTACAATTTCTTCGAGCCGTCAGGATCGATAGCTTTTGATAACTCTTGCAAATGGTTTTTGTCGCGATATTAAAATCGGAGAATTTCGTAAAAATCCATTGTACAATCGTGAGAGTACTGTGCAACGAAAGGAGAAAAACGACGAGAGAAGAACCGCAGACGGAGATACCGCGATACGACCGCGAGGTAGACTACGTTGCCAGTCGCGCGGTGCATTTTAACGGCAGAAAAATAACCGGGGTACCAGCTGCTGAGGCGAACGGCAATCGCGGCTACGCGGACGTATAGCTCGTATCGATGAACCATCTCATGCTCGTTGCTTACCTTCTCGCTCGCGCGTTCCTCCTCGGATAGTATAAGGTAAGCGTGAAACTCCTTGAAACCAATGCTCTGGAAGATGCCTTTCGTGTAATCGGGTGACCTGGAATGTAAACATTCTCTCTTGGATCGCGCGTTCGCCGGTCTTTCCTTCCCCGTCCCTTCAACAGGGAGTTCTCGAACTCCCCCTCTCCCTCCCCACCTCTCTCTCTCTCTCTTTCGCCCGCTTGTCCGTCTTGCTAAAAGTGTCGCTGATGATCGATTAACCGAGATCCCCGGACCCTCAACCAGGATGTTTGCACCTGGTGTACCAAATGCGATCGTGCAATCAGAGAAATTGAGCGCGACTTTTTTGGCGATCTTTGAACGCGGACAGCCTTTTAAATTTCGGTCGTGCTTAAAGTCCATTTAAGGGATATATTTACGGTTTAATTTCGGCAAAATATGTAAAGCGCTTATAAGCTATAAAAGAGAGAAAGAGAAAGAGAGAGAGAGAGAGAGAGAGAGAGAGAGAGGGAGAGGGAGAAAACAGATTATATTTAATAACAATGTACCGCAAAATAAAATTATGTTGGAGCAACGTATGGATATTTTACATCGTATAACAATCGTTTCAAGTAAAAAAAAACCGAAGTCCGACACCAGTGAAATCAATCAGCGAGCAATGTAAATTTAGTCAAAATAACAAAAAACTAAAATTATCTAATTATTTTCATGCATAATTTTTTACATTCAATGATACTATAGAATTCTTTTTCAGACATATAACATTACACGTTTTAATGAAATGTATTTGAAAAGTTGCGCTTGCAAATTAAAGAAAAGAAAAAGTTTTTTTTGCAGTCTGTTTGAGTCTAAAATTAATTGCAGAATTACTCGGTTTGCAGAATTACGAGATAAACTATATATCGCTCCGATAACGTTAAATGAAGAATTTTAAGCTTCTTAAGATTTCGATAGCGTAACGAATTGCGTAACACCACGCGTCGCATATAGCAGAGGAAGTGCAAAGATAACGCTGATAAGAATTTTTATTTGCAGACATGGTCATCATATATTGCAATTATGTATAATTTGAAGTATGATATCATTCAAAGTTTCCGTGCGTAACTGTATGCGTTTGCGTTAAGTAAAGTTTGATTAAAAATTGCCCGCTAAAAGAATCGGCATTGAAGCAAGATATGAATTAATCGGGCGAAGCGCTCGCGATGTCATTGGGTTGAAAAAGTGACTGCAAAAGCTTACCGTCTACTACTAGCAGGGTACGATTTTTATTTTATTTTCTTATAGTGTCATCTTAAAATAAAGTCTGATTCTGAAAAGATGCGATCCCCGATCTCCCGTCATTCAGTGACAAGCTCGTTACTAAAAATTCGGTGTTAATTAACGTCGCTTTACAAAAAAATATTCCGAGTTGACGCAAGTTTAACATAGATAATCGTTGTTGGTTGATTTACCGTCTATTCAAACGCATCCCCGCTCAGGTACTGGCAATATGGGTGCGTACGCTTCGATTTCGTGCGAATCTTATCACACGCGTCGGATTGGCAATCGCGAGACGACCTCGCTCGACGTAACGCCGACTTACATACGGCGGGAAAAAGCCGGCGCTATCGCAGGCACGACTCACTGATTTCGCACATGTGTCAATGCCAAATGCATGTTGGCGCGGAGGAATATCGGATCCACGGCGCCGCCGTGCGTCGCGCGTGTGAGTTTTGTTCCGAATGCAAATTCTCAAGCATCGGGATGTCGATCCCGCAAGACGGTGCAAATAAAGGATAAGTCAAGCCTGAGATAATTTATTCCTTTCGAACATTAAATACCGATATTTCTTTTGACTGTCTCCTATTGACACAGCATATTCGCAGCTTCTATATTTGTACTTTTTGTAGTTAGCAATTCATACGCAAACTTGCTTCGTGATAACAAGTTTTAAACTTTCCGCGAATTTTTAATAATCTCATTCATTTTCATAATAACGTAAGTAATAAATTTGCTGAAAGTATGAAAATAATCGTATAAAAATAGGAAAAAGACAAGTAAAAATAAGAATAAACATATATAATAACACGATTTGATAGTTAATGAAACATCGAGTTTTCGGTTCAACATTTTTATCATGATATTATCAATTACCATATATTAATTTGTTATTAAATATTCTCAGTCTTTTCATGATATATTGGTACATAAATACGTTATCGGAGAAAGTAGCATTATTCATTTCAAGATTTTAACGTTATTTATAAGATCTCGGTTCAGCAAAAAAAAATAATTAGGCTGGCTTTCCTATTCGTAACTGTCAACAATTCTGCTCGAAACGAATATAATAATGATAATAATAAAGCATTGATAATATAGCCATGATGATATTTAACGACGGAGACCATGGTCCGCAACTGGTAGCAGCAATGATAGCACTTGTGCGTCAGTAACAGTACTAGAGCTTGTGATTAAGATAACGACAGAGTGTCAGCAATCAGCGTCGCGCGAATACGTAACCGCTCTAAAATATTTTTACAACCTGTTGCCAGGCAGCCATTACACGCCGCACGTCGCGCGGTATTACATTTTCTCCACCGCGTAATGTAGAGTTAACGCGGGTTACCGCGAGAAGGAGAGAGATAATCGGCCGCTATTGCCAGGATTTATGGTCTTCGTGAAACAGTAGCATGCTATCTTTCCTCCTGTGCGCACATTTCTGCTCATTTGACATCTACCGCGACCAAAGCGGTTGAATGCAAGTGACAATGTGTCGTGAACAAAAATGAAATGCATCGTAAACAAAAAAAGCTCTCAGCTTATTTTAATCTTTTGTGAAAATCGTTTAATGTATGCGCATGAACGTGCAGATGAAAGTCGGCGATACTATAAAAATCTGTCGATAAACTTTCACCGATAGATTTTTTGAATTGAGAAGTTCAACCGAGAAGGAATTAAAACATTGATTATGCATTTTGCTAATCGAACATTGTGCAGTCTCTATCTTGCAAATTATTTCTCGAAGAATCTTCTCTAATATATTTTTTATATCTTTTATTTTTTATCCGTCCAATTTGTGAAATTGGTTTCTTTAAATGTTTTAATATACGGGTGCAAATTTTACAATAAAACCAATATTCGATAGGAAGATAAATTCCTACGCGCTTGTCGTAGTATAACGTATTCAACAATCTTCCAATTTTTTAATCCAAGGTTGAAAGATTTACATTGATGCCTCGCGACAGTCAATTCTCGATAATAAGATTATGTATGTTACATTGCACGCGATTGAACGATTAATGGATCATTGCGAATTAATAGAGCGTAATATAATGGCGTTTAATTTTTTTAACATACGATCGGCATCTAATAAAATCGTCCATCCTTATTTTAATCGCTTCTTTTACGATTGCAATCAACCAGCCACTTGAACAAAACGTGCTGCTCATCTCGTTTGCGGAACTGCGCGAATTAAAAAAATCTAATCTTCTAATCTTCGATCGCCGTTTATCCGTTGAGCGTATCTTTGTTGATATAATTGAAATTAATTAGGCATCTATATAGCAAATTTATGTGCGATCAAATCGCAGAGCAGTTAATTACCGTAAAAAGTATAGACTTTTTGATAGAGATGTTAAAGTAAAAGAAAGATATCTATAGTATAAATTGGCAGTGATTGACAGGATAATCAGTGATATACCATGATAAGTCCACGTGCCATTTTCATCGGAATGTTATCTAACCTGTCAAGAGTATATACCGTAATTGACAGACGTAATTAAATCTATAATATGCGCAGGAAACGTTTAATTTCATTTACGTAAATGACAAACTCAATTTTGATTATTACTCGTAATTTATCGAAGAGATCGAGAGATGCTCTCTATATAATTTAACAACTATGCGAAATATTATCTAACTTCTGCAAATATTATTTTTGCATCGATAAAATATCAATGGTATATTACAGAATATAAATATTTCTCAGGATATCCGTCCGGTCTTGGTAAAATATACGTCGACTTCATGGCTAAAGTAAATAGTATTTATCAGTGAAGCTCTGACCGAATATCTAAAATATACCTGAGTTTCCAATAATGATGCGTAATGTCGATAAAACGGGCGAAATGCTGCTTCATATTTGAGTTGCGCTTATTTCATGTATCGGTTCAATCGATATCGGTCAATAATTGATTGTAAAGGGCATAAGATTAAGCTAATATTAAAAGACTAAAATCGATTAGAAATCGATCAATTATACATCTAGCCTATCTTGTTATAAATCGAAGATTTATCTATTCATATAGAATTTATCTATTCCCTCTAGTAATGTTACCTCACTTATCATTAACGATATTTCTAAACTAGATTTATAGTGTAACATATATGATAAGGTGCGATAAGATGTTCGTCTGTACCTACTTTATGAAATTGTGTCAACAATTCACTTTATCGTAAAAATATTTCCATTATTACGTTGCAACAAATATTGATATCCTATATTCGGTAATTAAATGACACGAACGAAAACCACCACGACATTCCTCCTGCATGTAATTTTGTATTGTTCATGAGTGAGAGAGAAAAAGGAATTAATAGGCGTATAATGTGTGAATGCATCAGGAACTCATTTCTTCCTCCTACATGATAACATATACATGGGAATTATATATATATTTCTCGTACACTATATATGCAATGTGTCATATTTTTAAAATCTCGACATGCATTTATTATTTTTTATCATCTTTATACAATTATCATCAACGTAAGGGCAGTTATTTATATTTTTATTAATTTATTATTCCGAGAAGCATTTAAGTCAATTGACAATCGTGTCGATATTTTCGGCCTTTAATCGGCCCTCTTTTCGAGCTCTTCTCTCGATTTAGCTCAACACCAGCTTCGCCAACGTTGTAAGCGCCGTAGCGACAGCAACTGCAAAGTGCACACCGCCGCGCCGGTGTCGATGTACATCGCCGTCGCGCCATGTGCACGTATAACTTACGTGGGTAGCCGGTTAATAAAATTAATAATTAATGATAATGGTCGAGCGATATATTATAAGCATCGATAGCGGCAAGGCATACCCGTACCGATAAGAATTTATCCACCTGC